ATAGGAGATCTCTCTCTCACTCTCTATCTCTCTCTCCGCGGCTCAAGTCGGTCTCTTCTCTCTCTCTCTCGCTCTCTCTCTCTCTCTCTCTCCTCTCTTCGCTCTCTCTCCTCCGCTCTCTTCATCTCTTCTCTCTCTTCGCTCTCTCGTCTCTTTCTCTCCTCTCTCTCTCCTCTCTCCTCTGTCTCTCTCTCCTCCTTCTCTCTCTTCTCCTCTCTTCCTCTTCTTCTCTGTCTCTCTCTCTGATCTCTCTCGCTCCTCCCTTCCTCGTCTTCTCTCTCTTCTTCTCGTCTATCCATTTCGGTTTTTTTGACTGAAAAGGAATTCGTGAAGAGTTCGAAACACACGCTTATTTTTCAATTCTCATTGTGGCTAGTTTCATTTTCATTTTTGTGTACACGTGATAGTGTTTGTGCTTGCGTTCATACATACATACATACACACACACACACACACACACACACACACACACACACACACACACACACACACACACACACACATATAAGGTATGTAAGTGTGTGTATTTTTGTGTGCACATCAGAGTTTGTGTAAGTATTGGAACAGTTGAGTGTGTGTTAAGTATGAAAGTGTCTGAATGAGTGTACTCTATTCATTCACTATTGCAAACCTTATTTAATCATAACAGGTTCTGATACATTTTAATCATAAGGGAATACGCTGCACTAACAGATAATTATAATCTTACAGTATTATAGTGTTATTAAAAATTGCAAAATCATGCCACTATATTTCTATTTGTGTTCATACTACGACAATCTAAGTTATTTTACCATATGACAAATTCACATCAAATGCATCTGAATCCCCCGAGCTTCTTAAAAAAATCACGCTCACATGTCGCAAAATGTCTTTGGTTTAATGACGATTAAATCGGAATTAATGAGCGTTTATTTCCCAATCAGAATTTCCCGCCAAAACAAGCATTCTCCTCGCTTGAAGTTTACTTATTCTAAAATAAATCGAACGAAGTTACGGTTTCGTAAATGAAAGCATACGATTACAAAGTTGTGTAAGAACAGTTTAGACAACATGTAAATTATATATCTAAATTTTTTTAATGCATTTATACGTATACAGATCAACGGACGCTCGCTTGAACGGTGACCGCGTGGATCGTTGCCAGACATCGCTGGATGCAAATAAGCCACCATAATCACCCGGCAATAGTTATCAATAAAATAAATATATAGGGGTTATAACAATATACAAATAAAACATGAAGCACCGCCGTATGCAAATCATGCAAAATAGGAATAAAAACAGCCTCTGGGATCTGAATATGTAACAGTCATAGATAAACATGTAATGTATGTTAAGTCACGTAAAGTTATGTCAGCAAAAGGGGCTGAGTTTGTGTGTGTGTGTGTGTGTGTGTGTGTGTGTGTGTGTGTGTGTGTGTGTGTGTGTGTGTGTGTGTGTGTGTGTGTGTGTGTGTGTGTGTGTGTGTGTGTGTGTGTGTTGTGTGTGTGTCTGTGTGTAGTATAGAGAGAGAGAGAGAGACGGAGAGGAGTGATAGAAGAGAGAGAGAGAAGAGAGAGAGAGAGAGAAGTTTGTGTGTGTGTGTAGTTTTTTTTTGTGTGTGATAGAGAGAGAGAGAGAGAGAGAGAGAGAGAGAGAGAGAGAGAGAGAGAGAGAGAGAGAGAGAGAGAGAGAGAGAGAGAGAGAGAGAGAGAGAGAGAGAGAGTGTGTGTGTGTGGTGTGTGTGTGTGTGTGTGTGTAGAGAGAGAGAGAGAGAGAGAGAGAAGTGTGTGTGTGTGTGTGTGTGTGTAGAGAGACTGAGAGAGAGAGAGAGAGAACTGTGTGTGTGTACGTGTGTGTGTGTGTAGAGAGAGAGAGAGAGAGAGAGAGAGAGAGAGAGAGATGTGTGTGTGTGTGTGTGTAGAGAGAGAGAGAGAGAGAGGTGTGTGTGTGTGTGTGGTGTGTGTGTGTGTGTGCGCGTGTGTGTGCCTATAATATTCTTTCTTATCTCTCGGACGTAAATATTTCAATATGTTCACGCACGTTTTCCATATTCATATATCTGGCTCTTATCCAGAGACATTTTGTGAAAATTATGAAAAAATAATGTACTTCTGAACATACAAACAGGAGACATATTTTTTTCTTGTTACATTAACTTTCATCAACAGGATTATGTATCTTTATCTATCTATATGCATGTATATTGTAATTTACGTAAATTAATCCTTTTGAATTACTAAATATGCGCCGAATGGATGCCAAAGGATGCCATGTTATTAACTGAATCTTTTGGGTAAGGAACAAATGAATCTTGCACTTGTTCTACATATGCGTGGAACAGGTGTATGTACGTGTTTGTATATGACACGTAGACAGTAGTGACGATCGTACTGTTTTACGTAGTATGCTGAAATTATTTTTTATTTCGTTTTATTTTTCAAATCTGGAGCATTTTCATTCTCGCAATTTACCAGTAAGACGAAAAGTAGTTAGGAAAATGCATTCCAATTTTCCA